AAGAGAATCCAAGTACCAAGGATACAATAAATATAGTATATTATAATAATTCTTTGGCGTTTAACATCTAAATACCACCATATGATTATGAGAAACGCCGTAATGAAGTGCTCGAAAAATTTCCACCACCCAGGATTGTTTAACATGTGCCTAAATCTAAGCCAAGGAAAGTGCCGAGAAAACTATTTATAAAGGGTCCTGTAGTAATTATGACATAAAAGGAGAAGAAGTTGTGGACGAAAAAGCAAATTTTCTACTGATGGGCACCGTATACACCTATGACCTTCAGACAACGCCGGTCTCCCCGAATAAGGCTATTGTTGAATGGGCTTCACTGGTGTCGCTTGGCCTCCATCGACGTGCTTCAGATGTCGATGATTCGGTGCTTGAAGACAAGCAGCAAGATTGCTTACTTCATTTGCAACGTATGCGAAAGAGAAAGAGAGAGAGAGCATGTGGAAGTGGTCATTTCGGGCTTAATGAATGAATAAATAAGCTTTATTTCGGATACGGCATGTTTGTGGCTTGGACTGGACCACACAGGGAGGTACCAGGAGGGCTTAACGTTAAAAACAATTTGTAATTGTTGTTCGGCTAATTTCCACGCCTTCGATGACAGTAATCTCCTTTGTATCAGGCACATAATAACTACGTAATTTGCATTGCAATTATTGGTGATCAACAAATGAGAATCAGTCCAACAGAATTGAACGCGGAGCCCTGACCTATCGATCATAGTAATTGAGGCTGCGGCACAACGTAGGCTTGAGAAGTTCCCGCCGTTGTCCTCATTGTAGCCTCCTTAGCTGACAGTATGTAATGTAGCAGTAATGTCTCGTTACTAGTACTTGCTGTTCTTACATATACAATAAAAAAAACGGTATTGAAAGGGTCTGCTGCGCACCACCTTTGACATCCACTGCTCTCGTCAACTCGGCCCTTAAACATATAACAACGTGAGAACTAAATGGCTCAATTCGGTTACGACGCACATCTTCGCGAGAAATTGTGTGCTCTGTTGCCGGAAGAATAACTTCCTTTACCCGGAAGTTGTCTGGGTGCGAGACGCGCTCGCGCTGAATCGACTTCAACGCTCGAGGTCAAACGCTGCCGTCTCGCGCGCCGGGCACCTCCGTAGTCACGTACATAGTGGCACGCTCCGGTAATTTGTAGTTGCGTCTTCTCTGTCGCGACTCAACCCCCTCGCCTCCGACTTCAATTCACTCGAGCTTCATTAGCATAACTAATTTGAATGAATGTCATATGGACGGAACTAACTATTGTCTTTGGTAGGAAAGAGAAAACTTTATTAAAAAAGGTCAAATAGGTGGAAATTTAAGGGCTCGTTTTTCTTTGTCAAACACAATATTAATCAGAACTAACAGGCAGTGTTGCCGAGGAGAGTATAAGACATGTTAGAAGTAGTAATTGTTTATGCAAATGGAAAGGAAGAAAAGTGGTCGATAACATATATTTCTGTCGGCAGGGGCTGAGCCTGCAACTTTCGAATAACGCGTTCAATACTGTAGCATGTTTTAAATAAATGTACTTTCTTAGTGCGCAGGGAACGTTTCAAAAAGAAGACTGATAGGACATAATTTCTTTCAGAACGCAATACCAAGTTTCCAGCCAGCTTAAGTAGACACCTTTTTTTTTTTTTTTTTGCAGAATACCCTACAAACTGAGCCACTTTAGAATATAAATTGCCACGTGCACGCGGCAAAGAAGCAAGAAAGACGACAAAGCAAGTATGCACGTGCTATGAAAAAAAAAAAAGATGTGTTATGTCGCATGACAGAAAAGGAAAAAAAGAACTGGTTTGCGCGCAGTAATAAAAGAGACCTACCTGCTGCTGTTATGTCGAAATCTATGTTAAAAAACTCTGCTTTGACGTCGACACAATATATGTGCATTTAAAACGGCAAGTATTAGCGCAGCTAGCAGCCATGACGGCGAATGTGGGACGTTTCTTCTACCTGTTGGCGTCACGCAGCATTTATTCTTACTATGAGCTGGCAGCTTACCAATAATACCTCTATACTGCATCAGGTCTGCTAGAACGAGACCCTCACTATGAGTGGAGAAAAAAAATACCTACCGCAGTGGTCTAGTGGCTAAGGTACTCGTCTGTTATGCCGCAGGTTGCGGGGTCGAATCCAAGCTGCGGCGGCTGCCTTTTCGATGGTGGAGAAACTGTTGTAGGCCCGTTTGCTCAGATTTAGGAGCACATTAAAGAATCTCAGGGGGTCGAAATTTCCGGAGCCTTCCACTACGGCTTCTCTAATAATTATTGGTGGTTTTGGGACGTTAAAGCCACATATCAATTAAGGGGAGGAAAGAAGAAGAAATTTAAGGGCTCGAGCGTTTCCTTTTGTCAGGCACAACGTTAACGCGTCATTCAAAGGTCACAGGTTCAATCCCTGTCGGTGGCATGTTATCTTTTCGTCCACTTTTCTTTTTTACATTTACAGTACAACTGTAACTAATAACATCCCCCATACTATCCTTTGCATCATTGTCTGTCAGCTCTCATTAATACTGTCATTTCGATTTTAACACGCATATGCCTTTCTCCATTTTTTATATTTACTGGATGATGCAGATGGTGAAACAAAAATTGATTGATTGTATTGACAAAAAAACTCAGCACGTATTTTTTTTTTATTTCTTAGGTAACAGTTATCTCAGCCACGAAGACAACACAGCTCAATCATACCCACTAATAGAATTTTTGTCAGCTACTAAATAATTTCGTTTAATGAGGCATAAAGTTTATTTACTGGAGAGAAATGTGGCCCTGCTATCGTTCAGCCACCATGTAAATGATGGATAGTACATAGATTTACCTAGTCTTCTTTCCGCTGGCTTCGAACGAACGTGTGGCTTCGTTTATGGTTGTGGTGTGGCTTCTATTTCGAATAAGGTAACGGCTCATTGTGAGTTTCGGGAGCTGATTTGAATTCATAAGCCAAAACCTGTCAAGTTGGTGAAGTGGGACTGCTGAACTCCATCTGGCAGCAAAGCGAGTCATGCCACACGGTGCTGAAAGAGTGAAGGTTAGGCGAATTCATTTATTACCCATCATTTGCATGCTGGCTGAAGTGTTGTGTGCTGCAGCTCCCATAAACACCAGCGCCAGATTTTGCCATATTGTACTGTAAGGAAGCACACATAGGCAAGCGATTCCACGCAGAACGACTCGGCGAGATTTTTCAAACAACGGTACTATTTTGAGTATTTCAAATGCAAAACTTTGTAATGTGTCTGATGACTGCCAATATTTCTTAACACATTCGCTGTGGTAGCTTACCAGGTATCATGTCGCACTGATGGGCTCGTGGGTGCGAGTTCGATTCCTCGTGAAGGTGTCTGCATTGAGACGGAGGTCAAGTGCGGGTATACCCGTGTGCTTAGATATAAGGGCACGTTAAATAACCCATGGGGTCAAAATTAACCCGAAGACCCACACAACGGCGTGCCTCATGATCGTATCGTAGTTTTGGCAACGTATGACCTTAGCCAGCACTTACTACAATTTTTAGTGCAATGGCATGAGCTTCCGAGTTTATAAATACTGTAACACTCGCTATACACTGCTTCACAAAGCCCCAGACTGATTGGAGCGCACAAAAGTTTTCAAGTTGTCGATTACATTTACGTGATTTAGCACATACATCATGTACATACATCGTCATTACACATTTGAAGTTGAAATATCTGCGAAAGCAAGCGCTTCACTTAGAAAGCCTAGTGTTCTGAGTGATATGCTCTCACGAAGTGCAGCTACTCCTAAAACTCGCTCAGGAAATGTGTATCAAGCTTCCTGTAAATCCCCCTGATTGTCTGCTGAGTGGGTGCACGTTAAAGAACCCCAGGTGGTCTAAATTTCCGGAGCCCTCCACTACGGCGTCTCTCATAATCATATAGTGGTTTTGGGACGTTAAACCCCACATATCAATCAATCATTGTCTGCTGAGCTCGCTGGAAGGCATCGTACTTCTGCTGAAGGGTTGTACGAACATTTGTGAATTCTGTTTCATGAATAACTAGTTACAAAGTAAATCGGCGGAGCTTCGTGTATTTGCGATAAAGTCACGCTGCGACTCACCATTCAAACTATTCGAGACACAAATTTGTAAACAGCGTGTTTTTTTTTTTTTGTTTTTACTAAAGAACATCAGTCGTCGTGTTTACCGAACGTTTCATAAAAAGCTGCTGTTTCAGCTTATCTACCCGAAGGCGCTGTCGCAAAGAAGTGCGCCAACTTTACAACCTTCTTAATACCACGAGGTTAATTTTAGCCAGCGCGCGCCACGGCAAGTGGGCAGAAGAACACAATGAACAGCTTTATCTGGTGCTAGTATGCGCAGCTTCACCTTCCTGATTGTCATTTATTTGCGAATGCTAGGCAGCAAAAAGGGTATCATGAGCTTACAAGAAATTGTCATGAAAAGACGGAAAGGGAGAGAACGGCTTCGACAGCAATTGGTGTGATGCGTGATCGAAAAGATGACGCACTTGGCGAGAAAATGAGCGGTGAAATACCGGGAGGAGAGAACATCGTCAGCGGGTGAGCGATGGGCCCATGTCTCGCCGTAGCTCGGTCAAGGTTTCCGAAGATCTTGCACTTTTGGCCCCCTCCTCTCCACCGGCTTTCACAAGGAAGTCGGGTGTGCCGCCTAATCACACGTATAGCCGAAGCCTTTCCATCGAGCGACCACCGAACGTCAGGGGCAACACAATGGGGGAATGGCACACACGCACGCATCTAGTCAGCAGTTTGTACGCGGAATTGCCTGAAGGACTTCGTAAGGCGGGAGCAGAGCCATATCAGACTCAATGCCATGGCTTTCCAGACCCTCCTCTCCACTCAGTGCAACGCGCGCGCATCAAGTAGCTGTCGCAGGATGAGGAGGAAAATGGGATTACAGCGAGAGAGGAAAGGGCCTCTCGCCCCATTCGTTTGCGCTCTCTCAGAAGACAGTAAATAAAGGCGGGTGTTCCGAACGCTCACACGTCTTGGCGGCACACATTTACTGGCCCGGCTGCGTACCGTACCTTTCTTCGGCAATTGAGGAGCAAAGTCTTCGAGCATGGAGGCTGTTGTGACCGACACTTTCTTGCCGCGTGACCCGCGGACGATGGGCTGGCTGCTGGTCGGCAACAAGCAGTTTTTGATCACGCTACTTCTCGGCTACGTCTATTTGGTCAAAATAGGTGGCCCACAATTCATGAAGGGTCGCAGGCCTTTCGACAATTTGAAGCCAGTGATCATGATTTACAACCTGTCCATGGTGATCCTCAACGCGTACTTCGTGTACAACTTCCTGAAACGCTCCTACTTCGGCGGCGGCTACAGCATCATTTGCCAGGGCATCGACTACAAGGCCCGCGACCAAACTACCATTGAGTTTCTGGAACTGTGCTTCTGGTACCTGTGGGTGCGCATCGCCGATTTTTTCGACACCATCTTTTTTGTGCTTCGCAAAAAGGACTCGCACGTGTCGTTCCTGCATGTGGTGCACCACATTCTCGTTGTGTTCAATGGCTGGTTCGGACTCGCGTACGGGCCCGATGGACAGGTAGCCCTCGGTCTGACACTCAACAGCTTCGTGCACGTGGTGATGTACTCCTACTATTTCCTGTCGCTCTTGGGACCCTCGGTCAGGCCCTACCTGTGGTGGAAGCGCTACCTTACCCAGTTCCAGCTGGTGCAGTTCATCATCATGTTCATTCACTGTACCATCCCCGCCTTCAAGGACTGTGGCTACCCTATGACCCACATGATGATTACTATTCCTCAAGCCTTGTTCTTCTTCGGCATGTTCATTCGCTTCTACGTGCAGGCGTACAAGCAGCATGCTAACTAACGACAAGCGTCAGTAGGTTGGCGATAACCAGGCAAGTACAGACTGCTTCGATCGTCGCTGCTCGGTACCGGTTTTCCTCTCAGGCGGCAACTCTTCAAACATGCCGCTTGCAGAATTGCCGCCCAAAAGATCTCTGTCGCACTGGCCGATGCAGTGACTGACAACATTTCGCCTTTCGGATGTCGCACGTATCCCTGACGCCACTTGGGTTGCAAGTCTAAGCAGCGGGAGGACGCTAATTCATAGGTGCCACGTGTCGCTGTGCCAGGATGTGCATCGCTACGTGTCTGAAACTTGCTGGTTTCTCTTTCTCTCCAAGATGACATGCGGCAGAAGGACTAAGAAAGCGACTGTGAAGTGCTTCTGTATAGGAATGTACTGTGCCACTGCTTGAAGCTATGTACAGTCTGACAAATGCAATTTAATGCAAATTTAGCAGTTTATTCCAAACGCATCTCGTGTAAATAAACTCTCATTCCGCCCCTATTGGGCTTCTTTTAATTTGATGTGTCAGGGGCTCTTATTTTTTTTTTCGAATATGCCACCACACTTTGCGGCTATACCTACCCGAGCAATTAGTGCATTTTTTTCTGGGTATCATTTTCGTTTTATACATGTGGTAAATAATCGGGACAAGAATTTGTACAAGAGTTTCCCCGGATATTGGTTAACACTTATTTTTCTGGTAGAAATAATATGGCGGTGATTTTCCTTTCTGATTTCGAACTTCTTGCCAAACTGAGATCACGAAGAATGACGGTACATGTCTTGGCATGTTCCCAAATACGCATGTCCCAGTCCCCGCTCTTTCTTTGTAAAGGGATTGTCATGTCGTTGAAACAGCCGAACCAGTCGATGCTAGGGATCGTTTATACTCACGTGAACGCAAACAGTAAGTCACGTAGGCCACGTGGCAAGAAAGTCACGAAAGGCCTAATCGCGTATAAGTGGAAAAACGAAGACTATCATGTTTGCGGACCATCGTGTGGGTTAGTCTTATAGATGAGTGTGCATTTGAAAAAGGATAAAACCAACGTCTGAATAGGTTTAAGTAGATACCCCTGTAGATATTCACTGCAACCAAAGCCGCAGTCTAATTATCTGTGCCATTTTTTGCCTTTACCTCAAGCATGGCGAGGACGGCTGGCATCATTATTCTGACAGTGCAAGCACTCATCTAGTGGGGATATATGACTTGTCGAAAAGCTCGTGTGTTTGATGTGTTTAATAACCGTGCCAGCCTTGACGTTGCTTTGTCGCAGTTATCCACTATACTTGCGCTGCAGTTCTGCGTAACGAATAGTCTCCATCGAAATTTTGCAGCTGAATGAAAAAAACTCTGTATAAACCGCCGCTTTTAAAAATCGTGCTCCCTCACCGTGTAGAAGCCCTGCAATATTTTTTTCAAACTTACGACAGTTCGTTAACCAAGCAGGGGAGGCGAAAGAAGGGAGCACAGTGGAAATAAAGTCAACAGGTTTGCAAGGCAAGTTCCTTAACTATCCCACACGACAACTGAAAAACAAGAACATACTAGGTAAACTGAATAAATATACATAGCTATAAGAATGCACACATTCGTTGAAACAGTCTCAAGCACAAAAGTAAAGCAGCAAAACTGCAATCGTGAGAGGACGTTATGCAGCACCGCACTAACAACGTTGTTTAAGCAACAAGATGCATGTATTTTTTGAATTCAGCAACGCCATGCTAAGGAAAAGCATACGTGGGCGATGTATACCATTCGATAATGGTTGGCGGAAAAAAATGAGTGTTTAAAACGATTATAAAATGCAAACTATGATGTCAGATCATGATTGTGATTACGTCTGGTTTGTCGGGAAGGAGATGGGAAAAGGTATTCATGAGGATCATTATTAAACTGCCAATTTTCAACCACCAAAAGTAAATTGGTAGACCCCACGTACAATGGGAAGTGATGGTATGTGAAGCAGGAATGAGGAAAGTTGAATTGCTTCATTAAAATCAACAAAACATTACGAGGCGGACGTAAATTATGCCGTACATGACATCCATGTCATGATTATCATGTTTGCGCCTGGCAATTGTGCTCGTCGTCCATTTACGTCCTGTAATACCAAATTTCATATATGTGAAGCTAACAAAATGGCCGTGAGTGCGCTATGAGTATAGCATGTATTGATAATTTACGAGACATTTATGTCATAATTATCATGATTGGACACGTAATTTACCTTTGTCGTCCATTCATGTCACGTAACACCAAAATTGGTATATGTGAAGCTAGTGAAACGGCCGTGAGCGCATCACAAATGAGGTACGTATTCATGTTTTCATTTGACACTCATATCACGTTTATCTTGTTTGCACCAGTCATACACCTTCGTCATCCATTCACGTCACGTAAACCAAATCTGCTATATGTTAAGGCAGCGAAATGGCCGTGAGCGCACTATGAGCGTAGTAGGTAGTCATGTATTACATGACATGCATGTAATGATTATCATGTTTGGACGTGTCATTTAGCTTTGTCGTCCGTTCGCGTGATATAATACCAGATTTGGTATATGCGAAGCTCGAAAAACAGCCATGAGCGCATCATGAGAATGACATGTCATGCGCTTACATGGCACGCATGTCTTGATTATTATGTTTGCACCAGTCACACACCTTTGTCATCCATTCATGTCACGTAGTACAAAAATTGGTATATGCGAAATCAGTGAACCGACCACGAGCACATCATGAGCGTGACATTTAGTCATATTGCATATGAAGCGCATATTATGATTATCATGTTTGCACCAGTCATGTACCTTCGTCGTTCGATTCACGTCACGTAAGACCAACTTTGGTATATTTGAAGCAAGCGAAATGGCCGCGAGCGCTCTATAGGCGTAGCATGTAGTCATGTTTTACATAACACACATGTATTGGTTATCATGTTTGCACAAGTCACATACCTTCTTATTCCATTCACATCACGTAATACGAAATTTAGTATACGTGAAGCTATCAGGCTAGCGAAACGACCGCGAACGCATAGTGAGCATGGCATGTAGTCATGTTCATACATGACGCGCATGACATGATTATTATGTTTGCACCACTCATATACCTTGGTCATCCATTCACGTCAGGTAATATCAAAATTGGTATATGTAAAGCTTGCGAAACCACATTGAGCGCCTCATGAACGTGGCTTGTAAACATGATCTTACATAACGCGCATGTCATGATCATCATGTTTGCACCAGTCATGAACGTCATCCATTCACGTCATGTAATACCAAATTTCGTATATGGGAAGCTAGCGAAACGACAGCCAGCGCACCATGAGCGCGGTGTGTAGTGATACCTTACATGACACGCATGTCATGATTTTCACGTGAGGGCCTGTCACTTATGTGCGCTATGCAGTCATGTCATACGATGGCAGCTTTGTGATATATCATGTGAACAAAACCACCCCAGGAGCAGCAAGACCCTGACTCCTACATCATGACATTCATGACAAACATGTCATAATTTATAAATCATGACATGTTTCCAGATAGATAGATAGATAGATAGATAGATAGATAGATAGATAGATAGATAGATAGATAGATAGATAGATAGATAGATAGATAGATAGATAGATAGATAGATAGATAGATAGATAGATAGATAGATAGATAGATAGATAGATAGATAGATAGATAGATAGATAGATAGATAGATAGATAGATAGATAGATAGATAGATAGATAGATAGATAGATAGATAGATAGATAGATAGATAGATAGATAGATACGGTCTAACTCACTGAATTTTGTTAAGAAATGCTTCGCATTCAAAACTTGATTCTGGCGACAGCTCTACGCTCTTTAAGTGTCAAATGTTGTTTGTAGCCATAAGTGATGAAGGTGCATCAAGATTGTCATAATCATTATAAATGAATCTTAACGCCCTTCTCTGGATCATTTGAAGTTTATGAATGTCTGGATTGTTTGCTTGCGCCTGCCGTGGTGGAGCAGTGGTTAAGGTGCTCGAGTTTCATCCCGACCACGGTGGCCACATTTCGATGGAGGCGAAATTATAGAGGCCCGTGTGCTGTCCGATTTCAGTGCACATTAAAGAATACCAAATGATCGATATTTTTGGATTCTTTCGCTACGGCGTTCCTCAAAATCTCATCGTCTTTTAAGGACGTAAAGCCCCAGATATAGTTTGCTTGCTTCGGCTGTAAGTTCAAGAAACTGTTTTGAGGCGTCTGTGTTCCCTGCATATCCACAAGCGTATATAGGAAAGTCGATCGTGACGCGGCCATGAGTTGCGAATGTTCTTCAGCATGTGTGGTGTACCCTTGTTCAGTTTAGGGATCGAGTCCCGACAGCGCATATGAGCAGTGCACATGTTACACTCGCGCTTATTCGCCGAACACCTATGCGCCCACCCTACACGCAAATGAAAAACCTGAACGACGCCTTGTAGTTTCGCTTTATGTATGTGCGGCTGACATGTGTCTTGCGGGCGCTTTTTGGAAGCGTCGAGTGCACGCTCCTTTGGAAAAACCAACGTTGCGTGGATCGTGCGCCTTGGAAGCCAGCCAGGATCACCGGTTGCCTCATTGCATGCGCACCCTGTGACGCGTGCTTGTTCTTCACGAAGGTATTATACTTTCCATTCTTCAAAATGTATCAAATATATGTTGAGATATGCCACATGGGTTCAGTTGTAGACCGCGAGGCTGCGTCTACGTAAATATTCAGTGGACGCATTCTTTCACGAAGATACAGCGTTAACATCCTTCCGTGCCAGCGGCCGCTGTATACAACCGCGAGTTGGAATACACAGACGTGGTTGGTTGTGGATTTATTAAACATGTGCATACACGCACGTGGCACTTGCAGGGCACCAGAAATGAGCAATTAGGAGGGCTTTCCGGTTATGCAATGAATACGAAGTAAACCTATCTATCGAAGCTTTAAAGCTCAGCAAGAGGCAGCCCGTTGCGAGTGAGTGCTCAATATAAGACACGTACTTGAACGCTACCTGAATTCACTCTTGGCATTAGCAGCCAAAGCATGCATGGTGAGCGTTTCAGCCGGACACAAGTTGCGTCCTGCCTGAAAGGATGCACATTGTCCACGACTCGGTATACCTATGCTTATACGAAGTACAAGCGGCGAAATTTACACAGCAGCGCATTTTCAATTCGTCTTTGTTTACGGACTTCTTTTTGCCTTGAAATTTGCTGGCACAAGACGTGCTGCAGAATTCATACCGTGATGGCCGAAGCTGAATGAAGTGTATGTTGCCACTTAATAACACCGGTAATACGATTTAAATTGAGCGACGCATAATTATCCTAAATATTCATGTTCGCACTGTTTTTGCTGGTGTTCACCGTCAATAGCTCCACTTTCCCGTCAATGTTACTCGCTTTGAACGTATAAAATGCACGTTCTAGTCACGTATGCAGCTTTGGATTGAGAAATTTATACAAAAATTTTTGAGCCACGTTTTGCGAAGA